TTCTTTCTTTCAGGTCTCTCTGCCTGGTGCTGTTCTTACTGGAAGTAATAACGTAATTACCATTAAATTAAAAGGGATCAAGAGGAGGCTTTCATCCCCTACAGGAATGTACAGCAAAGTGAAGCTTCTTATGCCAGCACTTAACCTCCCAATTTCAATTGCCACTTTGGGATGCTGGAGCAGGTCCTCCCTGTTTAAGGAAGGGAGCAGGCATCTTTGTGCATCTTCATTTTTTAGATGCACAAAGAGGGATGGCCGCTTTCTTGCTCATTTGTTTTAATTACTTTTAAGTGCCTATTCTGATCTCTTTCTTCAGTTTTACAATATTAAAGTCCGCGGTATGAAGCTGAATACCTCCTGAGAGAAAGAGCTTTAATTCTCACTCACAATAATAATAGTAATAAGAACAATACATTTTAATGAAGTCAGGGAATGGGTTTATCCAGTACTTCCAACTGCCTTGCAGCCAAAGCATGGTTGTTTTTTGGGTTTTTTTTTTGTGTTGTGTTTTTTTTTGCAAACTACTGACTTTGGGATTTTTAAGGTTCTGGCTTTGCTGCATTTACCTTTGATTTCACTAATGATTGCCATGTTTTCCTCGAAAGTGGTTGGATTGGCAGTTTAGTGTAAGTAGGAGCATAATAGTTTTGATTGTAATTTCCACTTCCCTGGGTCTTTAACTTAGCTTCCTCTGTTTTGTGTGCGTGCATCGCTTTAGAAGAGGAGTCTAAGCTGTCCTGGTTTTGTAGGTGTAATTGTAACAACTCTGATTTAGGAGACGCTCACACAAGGTTTCAGCGTCTATGGCAGAACCACAAGTACCTACCAAGGAGAAGAAACTGTTATGAACTGGAAGTATCTACAGCTTTGCCACTGTTTTTGTGGTCTGTGTTGAGAGCAAGATTATGTCTTTACTGTAACTAGTAAAAGATTATCCCAGCATCCATAATTGTGTGCTGTCATACAAAAATCTGAATGACACATTGTTTCCCTATATTTTGACATTTCAGAGGTGACATGCTCCTGTATATATATTTTTAACATATAAAAATAGGACTTCATCTTGCTACTCAAGAAAGATTTAATCTGTCCCATTTGGGTTTTTTTCCTCCCTGGGCTGGACAGACTACATAAGTCTAAGCCCCAGGCACTGCAGTAATGCAGCAGAAAGCGGGCTGGCACTGCATGCAGCCCAGACGGTGAGGTTTCTGCTCCTTATACGGTAAAAATTGTTTGTGCCCTCATTGTGTTTGCATGTATACAGCCATGTTTTAAAGCTCATCCAAAGGATGCTGTATTCCTAAGTACAAGGGGTCTAAACACAGTCTGATTTCTATACAAAAGTTTTGGGACTAGAAAAAAAAATTAAGTGTGGAAAAGAAGCTCAATTCAGTAAAAAAACCCCTCTGAGATGTTTTAAAGTACAGCTTTCTTGATACTATCCTATATATTGGTTTATCTGCAAAATTGCACTAGAGAAAAGCAAACTCTGTATTTATAACCAAAATCAGAGGCAAGGATAAGAAAAAAAAAAATAAAAATCACAGACTTACAAGGTCAGAGTTGTGCTGTTAGGGGAGATGGAGAAAACTTCAGTTTTCCTCGAGGTAAAAGACAGGTCTATCTACTGAAGTATATGTAGCTCATGCCAACGCTTGCAGCTCTTTGGGCAACTTCTTTGGTGGGAGGAATGACATTGGATTCGAGTTTCCGAGTAAGATGGAGAGCTCCCATGCCCAATGAGAGGATATGGGAATATTCAGTTTCAATGGGATGATTGTTTCAGGGATTGGGTTGTTCAAAACAATGCGAGTTTCACTTTCCACATTTGGTTGTAATAGATACTTTCAAGTCAAATACTGGGGATTATTTGTCTTTAGAAACTGACCAGATTTACTAATTCCAAAACCTGATATAGATAGATAAGAAGGAAGTTTGAGATGAGCAATAGTATTATAATTGCTCTTTGCAGGCCACTTAGTACACGAAAGCCATTGCTTAGTTCTTGAAGTATGAACATCAGATTGTAAAGTAGATCCCATTAATTTGGTGAAGACAGATGTTTTCCTTTATTGTGGATTTGTGTTTCAAAATTATCAATTTACAACCAAATTATTAATCTAATCTAACATTAGCATTCTGAAGATGATATTAAAAAGTTAATTGAGCTTAAATCTAGTTGAGGTAGATTCAATTCCTGAGTCTGCAGACACCCCTAAGCAACGACTCTGGTCCTGTTCGTCCCAGAGGGCTGTATTAACTCTGACAGGTAAAGACTGTACTTCTGGTATGATTACCTTAGCCAAAACACCTAGTTAATATACTGATAACACGAAAGTGTACTTCTTTTCTTAGGTTCAAAAGCCACTGCTACTCTCTAAGCAGCTTCCAAAACCTTGACATTTTCTTCTGCATCTCCATCTTTGCTGGGTAAACTTTTACTTTACCTCTTGAAAGTGTTTATAAATGTGAAGCATAGTGAAAAAGCGTGTACGTTATAAAGAAAAACAGGTCTCCTCCCCAGTTCACTCAAGCATATGTTGTTATGTTTTCCTTTTTTAAAATATCAATCCTTTACCAAAATTTCACCAGGGTGTTGGCTGTAAACTGGCCTGAATGTTTGGCCATACCCTGAGGAAGGGTAGGTAGGGCCGGGACCGTAAGTTATTTTGAAAGCATTGTGCTGGGTGTGGTCTGCAGAGCTTGTTTGCTTCCTCACAGTCTGCTGGTTTTCGTTAATTAACGTGTTTGCGACTTCTGAGGCTGTCATTGCTGCAAGGGTAACTTCTGTTGCTGCGCTTACTCTATTCCTTTTCAGACAGCATATAGCTCAAGCGCGATCCAGCTCACTGGGCAGTAACCCTTGAGCTTCTCCATCCACACAGATATCCTACTCATGCATCTATCCCAGGGAGATTGCGGGGCAGGATGCCCCTATAGCAGAAATCTGAATATATTGAGAATGTATAGTGATATAGTGGGATTGTGAGAAAATCGGTCTGCCCTTTCTTAGCATCTAGGGAGAAGTGTGTAGAGCCCTGGGAGGGCTGTACTGGTGGAGCAAAGCTTCGCTGCTGAGACCAGAGTGGTTGTTTTAGAAATAACAAGACTTGCGCTTACCTAAAATTTGACTTATGCTGGTTCAGCTAACTGAAGTTAAAACATCCCTGTCTAAATACTGGAGTTTTTACATGTGGATGGGATTTTGGTAGGAGTACCACTATAATCCTAACATAACTATGCTAACAAGGCTAAAGAATTTTGACACGTCTTCCTTTGGTCAGGACTGTGGTCAGAGGCAAGATCTGTTCCTCAGCCTGGAGAAGAGAAGGCTCTGGGGACGCCTTATAGCAGCCTTTCAGTAACTAAAGGGGACCTACAGGAGAGCTGGGGAAGGACTCTTTACAAGGGCATGTAGTGATAGGATGAGGGGGAATGGCTTCAAACAGGAAGAGGGGAGATTTAGATTAGATATTAGGAAGAAATCTTTCACTTTGAGGGTGGTAAGGCACTGGAACAGGTTGCCCAGAGAAGTTGTGGATGCCCCATCCCTGGAGGTGTTCAAGGCCAGGCTGGATGGGGCTTTGAGCAACCTGGTCTAGTGGGAGGTGTCCCTACCCATGGCAGGGGGCGGGGAATTCGATGATCTTCAAGGTCCCTTCCAACCTAAACCGTTCTATGATTCTATGATTTGTGACTAAAGCTCAAGTGGAGCAAGATGAATATGGGGAGAAAGATGACTGTCCATTCAGTTAGACCATGGGAAGTGGGAAAGGTTGAGAGGACTGCCAGGAGGGATGTAGGTGGACATGTTCAGGACCGGCTTTGTCAAGGGACCTAACTCCATAGTAGTGTCTTCTCTAGCTGATACAAATGCGAAATACCCTCCAGCCATCCTTGGTATTTCAAGTTTCTGTTACAAATCGGAAGTGAGGTGACAGTGCAGCTAGCCCCAGTGCAAGTTCTGCATGAATCTTATTTAAGTTACGTTTTCCACAGAAAATTTGGTCTTTATAATATCAAATGCAATTTTAAAGAGAACAATTTAAAAATTAATAGTTCATTTTAAATATTCTCCTCCTGGCTCTTTTTCTTGATTCTTTTTTTTTAAACTGTGTTCAAAGTTAGTAGAGTCATAGTTTTCCTCTCACACAGTAGTTTAATCGCTTGTGCTCCTGAGCTTGGAAGACCTTTATAAGAGTTTTAGCTCTGGAGCTTCAGTCATGCACAGATTAAACAAATGGGAATGATAGAGCTTATCCTGTTCAGCCGTAAATCTTTAAATCTGACTTTAGAGAGCACGTGGTGCTCATGGTATAATGTGGAATTGGGACAGTTCATGATGCCCAGAAAAGAATGACCAGGTTATTCCCACGGACACAGGTTTTATTTTGTCCCTGTGGTCCTGTTATTGAAATGTGTGGGCACACAACCAAACCCCACTTTCTTCTGCACCCAACCCATCTGTCATTAAGCATGAGCATGGTGCTAGGCTCACGTGGGACACCATTTTCATACAGAGCGGTTTGGTATTTGGCGTAAAGATTCATTAAAGGTTTCAAGGGACAATTGCATTTTTAGGAGGTGCTGATTGTGAAAAAGGCACATCACACAGAGGTGTTGAGGTTCTTGGCTAAGGAGGTTTGCTGTCTAAATAAAGCAAGGAATCAGTTCAGATGGTGGCAAAGTATTATGCAGTTTTGGTTTTAATTAGGGGTGGTAAAATGAAGGTGTTACCAGTTTCAGGAGACAGATAAGCATCTGGTCTGTTTTTAGTTACTAAAGCAACTGTAAGAAATATAACAAATATTCATTAATTTAGTTCAGCATAATTAGTCAATGTTGGGATAAAACTTCTGTTCCTATGACTTCTGGAGCTGCATGTTGCAATCTGTATCACTTCATTAACATGGTATCCTAGTGAGCATGTTTCCTATTTGCTCCCATGGGTGAGATTTAGAGGTATGATGGAGCACTGCTTTGACTTCTCACAGGATGAGCTGGATGAACTTCGGGCTGAAATGGAAGAAATGCGTGACAGCTATTTAGAGGAAGATGTTTACCAGCTGCAGGAGCTCCGGCGAGAGCTGGACCGGGCAAACAAGAATTGCCGCATTCTGCAATATCGTCTCAGGAAAGCCGAACAGAAAAGCTTGAAAGTTGCACAAACAGGCCATGTGGATGGAGAGCTCATTAGGAGCCTGGAACAAGATTTAAAGGTGGGTGAGAGATTCGTATTCGTGGCAAAAGACAGCAGACAGGGATTGGGCTCCCTGCAATGGAAGGGAGGATGACTTATGAAATGGGCAGTAGTTCTCCAAACGTCAGTACCAATTTCCTTCTTCTGCGGTGGAGAACAAATATGCAGCTTATCATCATAAAAAGATGTGTTAGTGAGTAAAAAAACATGTGCTTAGATTCAAACTGAAAGAAATGCAGTCAAGTTACATTTGTGCATTTGAAAGATTTAAAGGGGTTTGTTTTTCTGGTTTTACTGAAAACCGTAGCTTTGCAAAACTGTATAAACAAAACCTGATATGCTTTTCCCAATTCATGCCATTTCCTTCCTTTTCTCTTCTTGCTTATGCCAAATAACTGAAAAAAAACTAGTCAAAGTTGCATTTCTTAGTGCCTAATGAGTTATTCATAACAAGAACAGACTGTTATAATATTTTAGCATGGCAGATAGAGTATCAAAATGCTGTTCCCATAAAAACACAAATTCCTGTAAAAATTATGTTCATAATGAAACCGGTTTTATATTTTTCAGAAATCCTTCCATCAAGGCTAAGCTTTGTATAGGTGCGATGCTTATCTAGCTTTACTCGTCTTTCTTAATATTGCTATCTTGTAGCTGTTTTGAAAATATCTTCTGTAAAGAGGGACTGCTTACCACTAGAATTGTTAAACATTTTGTCCTTAAAAATACAAAACATAACAATTTCTGAAACTGGAATGATTGGTTTCCAGCAATGGAAATGAGTGACATATCAAGTCATCAAACTTTTCAAAATGTCAGACCTAATTTTCTCTTTTATCATGGAAAATAACCGATAACCTTATCATAATAGTAATGATGCTCAGTAAAAATCTTGTACATAGATTTGAATGAAAGAGATATCGAGTTTTTTTACTTATTTGCCTTGGTTTTGCTGACTTGTTGTAATTCAGTAATGCATCATTTTGGGTGATGAATCGCCTTTCCCAATGCTTGTGGAGTAAATATTTATTCTTGTTAGGCTGGACTCAGAAAACCTAAGATAGCATATATTTCTGTGCTTTCATATCACTCTTGCCTAGTTGTGATTGCTGCCAGAGCAGCAAATTTGGGTGGATGAGACTGCTGCACGGATGCAGCTTTGATCGATGACCTGTCAACTTTACAGCACAATTCCTCATCTTTTGTTTTATCGATGTGATACGCTGGGACTTTGATGTGCAGGTTTGGTATCTGCTCATTTCCTCTGGCTGTTCATGACGCTGCCTTAGCATAATGTGGAGAGGGAGCTGGAGATGGGTAATCAAATATATTTTCATCTTGGATTTCTTTATTAGAAATGAATATTCATTTTGGTACTTGGAAGGCTTGGAGTCTTTCACTGACAGTCTCATAATTGAATTAAAAATTTCTTGGCTATCTAGGGTGGTAATATGCTTCCTACTGTAGGAGACACACTGTAGCTGTTGCTCCTCATGGATCCCCTTCATGCGTTTGTGCTCTTCTGACTAGGTAGCCAAAGATGTTTCTGTCAGACTGCACCACGAGCTGGAAAGCGTGGAGGAGAAGCGTGTTAAAGCAGAAGATGAAAATGAAATCCTTCGGCAGCAAATTATTGAGGTGGAAGTATCCAAGCAGACACTGCAAAATGAGCTGGACAAGTTAAAAGAGGTAAGCAATAGTCAGGAAAGCCATGCAGAGCCGTGTTGCTGGGTCAGATGGGAAATTTGACGTGCAAGCATCTTAGACTAACTCTTAAATGAAATGCCTACTGCTACTGCTTTTACAACTGCCCAGAAGGTCTCCTCGCCTTTGCTGTATGTCCCAAATGTGTTAGTAATTTAGAAAAAATAGAGAGGTAGAGGAGTGATGCTGGGGCTTTTGTCCAGGGCTTCTCACAGGGCTTCTGTCCCATTTTAAAGTGGCTCCTTAAAGCCTCTCTTCGTACTGGAGTGAAACTATCTTTGATTTGACTCCAGCTAGCTCTGACTCTCCTTTACACAGACTGGGGCTTCCACCTATTTGAGAGTCAAATGAGGGGTGTGTGACTCGTCTCTGAGAGGAACCTTCAGATAGGCAAGCCGCCGCTTTGG